ACATAGCAAAAGCATAAATAATTTAGCTTTAAAAGATTCAACTATGGAAAATCACACAAAAAATACGCATGGAGAGCAAGTAGATCGAATTGAACAAAACCATCATACCGTGAATACCTTTGTGAATGAAACAAAAAACGAATTTGCAAGGCAAAAGGCAATTGTAAAGGAAACCCTTCAAGTTATTCGAACTGATTATGAGAGTCAAAAAGTTTTCTTGAATTTTTTAAGAATCATAATAAAGCTTTGGAAGATTTAAAAAATGGTTTTGAATCTAGGCAAAAAATACAAATAATTATTCTAAAAATTTTGGAAATAATGGAGGAATAAACTTAAACGAACAAAATAATATGAATTTCCATAATTATGGAAATTCTTTTAATTCTGACCAACATACCGAAGATTGATGGCAGGAAGTAGTAAAGCATTTTCAAGATTTGGATAAAATTCATCAACTTCTTTTAATGCAGAATTTAAAAAATAAACACTTGGTTCAAAATACACCAAGCAACCTGCAACACAGCTTCAAACCTAATACTCCGTCTGGAAAAACACTATTTGAAATAGTGAATGAAAACACCCATAGTAACCCAACATTTATTCCTCCTGTGTCCCAAAATTCTCAAGAAAAATACAACTCAAACATGTCAATAAATCAACAAAATGTTTTCCACACAGCAAATTCAAACACATCAATTAATCAAAACTTGGGAAAAATGTTACCAAACGAAGAATTTGGAAATCAGGTTTTTGGTTAATTTGAAATCTAATTTCTTTCAAAAATTTTTAAGCGATACACTGGAACTTTGGGTAAATTTAATATTTTAATTAATTAAAATATTTCTATTTAATCTTATTTAAAGACGACATTGTGAATAAAAGCAAAAGAATTATGGATTAAGACAGAGAATATAGAAATTAAATAAAGTTTATTGTAAAGGAAAGTTAGAAGTTCAAAACAATTTTCAATTATATAATTCTTTTTATTCTTTATAGGGTTTACAAGTAAATTAACATTAAACAATATTTGTTTAGTAATTTTTGATAAAATATTTTATTTTTGAATTAAAGTGTCTTTTTGACTACTCTATACTGTTCAAATAAAATTTTTCTAACTTAATTTTGAACATTAGCTACGGCATTAACAGTTGATGGAGTCACAGAATTAGTGAATATACGTTTGAAAAAAGATTTAATTAAAGCAAATTCCTTTAAATAAGCCTCTCTGTAGTCAGTACTATTAATTTAATTTCTAAATTAATTTATTTAAACTCTTTAAATCTACCTATTAATAAAAAGTATTGGCTCATTTGAAGCCGAGCCAAAAATATATATAATACTAGAATATGTTAATATAAACCAAATTTCTTCATTTATGCCGTTTTCTATTGAAAATCCGAGTAGTAGAACTGCTACGAGTTGGAAAATAAGGCAAGAACAGATATTCACAAAAACAATAAGATATAGAGATCGATAAAGCTTTTTAATTGTTTCATGATGCAAATCTAATAAATATTATAAATAGACTAAATCAGGGTTCGGATTCGTATTTATTTTGGAAGTACAGTACTTAACATATTTTTTCCGAGACATTTTTTTCGGGCCGTACGAGTCTTTCGGGCTAAATATCTTAGGCCCGACTCGATCTTTAGGTCCGAGTCGGGCCATTTTGGCAACCCTAAATATAATAATAATTTTAGGCCGACAAACCGTACCTGTTATGAATTTTGTTAATATTCCAACGAATAAATAATTCATTAAAGTAATGATGTAAATAATTAAAGGAAACGCAGTTCGAATTTGACCGGTTGATGAAATAATTATAATGATATCCATAGGATTGCCTGGTATTTTAAAATTTCCATATTTTTCATATACTGGCAAAATAACGATGAAAATCATAAAAATATTGTACAACGTTATTAATGATATATTTACAATTATATATTTCTTTTGTTTCATGTTATTGTATCTGAAATTTGTATTTAATATTACATTAAGTTTAAGAACTGTCAATAGACTCCTAATCAAGCTCAGGGATCAGGCTGGCATGAAATCAAATTCCAGATTTCGGGTATCAGGAATTGAGTATTAGGAATTCAGGCATTTTATCAGAAATTTTTACTTCCTTCTTTATTCTAAATACACGAACAAAAAAATATATAAACTTTCAGTTTTGGCCAAGTTTGTAAATTCGAAATTTTTCGTACGTGTACTGTAACTGTTTAGGGTTTTCTTCTATTTTTTGGTTTAATTTCTGGCACTAAAATTTCCTGATAAGTTTAATTTTTTTAATAGATCTAAATCAGGGTGACCCTTTCCAAACCACTATGATAGGGCACAGCCACTCAAAAATGTGGCAAAAATAAGGCGAAAATTGTCAAAAATAATGCAAAAAATAGGGCATTAAAGCACAATAATAAGTCGGTATTCTCCTTATCAGCGCCGCAGGCGAAAATTTGGCGGTACTACAATTGAGGATACGCACTTGAGGATATGACAAATGAGGACGACATTTGAGGACGACAATTGAGGATCTGACATATGAGGATTTTTGGAAGGCAATAAGCCAGATTTCTTCTTTTTTTAGCGCCGCAGGCGAAAATTTGAGAATTTTTTAATGCCAAGTGACAGATTTTTTCCGTATTTCACATTCTATTTATAAAATGGCAAAAAAATTAAAATGTTACAAAATGGTAAAAATAGGGCAAAATATAGCAAATGTTGAAAATAGGAAAAAACAAGAGCGAAAAGGTCAAAAATAGGGCAAATGCCCTATAAATAGGATATAAGGGTCACCCTGATCTAAATATGTATTAAATCTTACAATATAGGTAAAGTAACGCCTACTAAGCGATCAATGCTAATTAAAAGTAACATAAAATTCGAAGTATTGAATACAATTATTACATAAAATATATAGGTTTTGGATAACCTATTTGTAAGAAAATTAATTCCAGTTGTCGATGTTGCCAAATAAAAAAATATTACTGTATTCAACAAAATTTCAAATAAGGCGTAAAATACAAGCAAAATACTTGTATTACTCCTTAATGCTGTATATTTTTTTCTAAAAATTAAAATTTTTCCTATTTTTTTATAAAAGAAAAATTTTAAACTAAAAATTACTTGTCTCATTCGCCGTCACCTAAAGTCGGAGAATTTAAGAGTTTTTTTTGAAAATTCCTCGTCCCAACGCCATCCAAAATTCACAAATTAAAATTTTTAATCTCTTATCCCCATTAATTTATATATGTACGAGTACAACAATTTTTATTTATACCATACCTATATTTAATTGTAATATAACAAACACTTGAATTCATTATAATTGCAATTAATGAAAATAAACTTATAAGTAAAGCATTCAAAAATAATTTTATCATAAAACCTTTTTCATTATATGTAGAGTAGATTGGCTTTAAATTAAATTTTATTTTAAAAATTTTATTGGATTCAGATCTTTTTTCAGATATTTTATATGTCCGGTCTCTTGTTATAATACTTACACTACGTTCCAAAATGATACCACCCCTAGTTTTTTCATGTTTTTATGAATTTTTTTTGTTATTTTAATGATCCATTTTATCTATTTAATCTCCTTGATAAATTAAATGTTTAACAAAAATAAACATACACTATAATAAGTTTTGCCTTCCATAAAAATTAAATTAATTTTTTAATACATATAATTTTTTTAGATTAATTATGAAATTTTCAATTTTAATTATGAAATTTTCAATTTGATTTTAAATACCTATTTTATTGGATTCAGATCTTTGTTCAGATATTTTCTATGCCGGTCTCTTGTTATAATACTTAAACGACGTTCAAAATGATACGCACCCCTAGTTTTTCATGTTTTATGAATTTTCTTTGTTATTTTAATGAAATATTTTATCTATTGTAACTTCTTGATAAATTAAATGTTTAACACCAATAAACTTACACTATAGTAAGTTTTGCCGTCCATAATTAAATTAATTTTTTAATATAATTTTATTTTAGATTAATTATAAAATTTTCAAATAAAAATTATTAAGATAATAGAAAGAAAATTCTTAAGAAACATTTTATTATATAATAAATTATTTATCATTATTAACGTAATCTGTTTATGTTTACAATTAAACACACCTGCCATTAAAATAATTTAATAAATATTTGTTTAAAGTCTATGTATTGTCTTTAAAAATAATTTTAAGCGGTAATTTGTTGAGATTAATTGCCACCTGCAATTTGCCCTTTTCGACATATGTATTAATTAAATATATAATTCAAGAAAATGATATTTATAATTTTAATAATAAATAACATTATTGTTGGTGTGTAAGTCTTGACGGAGGTGTACATATAAATCTTTTAGAAATTTTCAATGCGGGGGAGAGGGTTGTTACGGTTACCATGTGAGCTACAAGGTCTGTAAACAATTCATTTATATAATTGAGGGCATAAATGATTGTTTTCAGATCGTTATCAATGATGCAAAAATAAAACAAGTAGAATTGTAAATACAAAATATATTCTTAATCTTTTTAGTTTTTGATTTGAAATTTTAGAATTTAAAATTAAATTTAAAAAATATGTAGATAAAGAATAGATGACAAATTAATTATTTCAAAATAATTATTTTTAATTTAAAATTTTTTTGTCAATAATTATTGCCCAATAAATCTGCACTTTGAATTTTTATTAGTTTTATTTGTTCAGCTTTTCAAATCATCTCCCTTCAATAATTTTTATTAGTCATTCAAAATATCATCTGAAAATTTCCCAATAATGCTTAAAAATAATGCTATAGATAGAAGGATGAATTTAAAAAATTAAATTTTGAAGTAAACAGGATTTTTTTCAGTCATTTTTGAATTTCAAAATAGAAAAAAGGCCAAAATCTAAATAAACTTTAATTTATCATTCAGTTAATTTGTAAATAAAAACGCTTAAATGATGCGTCAATTGACATTTAAAATTAAAAAGACCCCAAGTTTCTTAATTAAAAAATGTTTTTAAAAATTTTTATTTTTCTTTTAATTATAAACAAAATTATTGCTGAAGATTCTAATAGCGGAGATAGTGGCATTGAAAATTCTGATATCAATATGAGTGATGAGATTGCCGACTCTGTTGATGTTCGAGAGGTACATAAAAATTATAAATTATTTAACAGAATAAAATCTTTTTATTTTATAAACTACTACTGAAATTTTTTATAATAAAAATAATAAAAAAATTCCTAATTCTACAAATATGTATTAGTGTTTTTGAGTAAATCTATTTTGAATTAAAATTTTTTGGTTTAGCAAACAAAAACTAAATAGACAAAAATAACTTTAAGAAAATCAATCTAGAATTTGTCACTTTTACAATTGTGATTTTCTTCAATATAAAAAACCTTGATCCCCTCTTATGGGCACTTTAATTTTAGCTAGAAATTATGAATTAATTAGAGAAATTACTGTGCATAGCTTTATCTAAATAATTAATTTTACAGCATGATAATGAGCTACAACCTTCAAATTTAATCGACAATCAAAATCTTCAAGACCCACAATTTATTAAAGAAGATGATACAAATTCATTGCCTTTGTTAAATAACGACGAGAATAATCGTATTGATGAATACACAACAGAAAAAATTAAAGAAGATGAGGAAGACCAACTAAATAATGAAGGATCTGGTGTAGACAATAAATTTCCTGAGGAAGATAATGATGTAAATGGATTGGATATTAATACAACTGCAAAATATGTTAATGATGTAGATGATAATGATAACAATGAAAGTGATGGTCAAAGATGCGTGTATGAGGTTCGGATTGGTTTTAGTGCTGTAATATTATAAAATAGTTATGAATTGTTCGTTTGAATGCAAAAAATGTATTATTTAAAGGCATTCTTATCTATTTATTAAGATTTTATTAACGAAAAATCTTCTCGCTCTAAATTTTCGGATCTGAAGCCCTCCGAAGCTTGCTTGTTTATCCTATCACCATTCCTCCTTTAGTTATCATTTTTTATGGAAGGAAGATTATCGCATTTACATTATTATGATCCATTCCTAGTAGAATAGAAATTCAAAGAAATTTTTATAATTTCTATTCAAAAAATAATCAAAATAAAATATAAATTATTTAAACAAATATTAAAATTAATTCAGGATGGTGTAATTAACGATAATGGTAACGAACGTACACCTACATCTGAAGAACAACACCAAATTGAAGAATACCTTCAAAAAATGAGTGAATTTGAAAAGCAAATGGTTAAAAACAGTGCCAATTTTATGAGAAATTTGGCACAATTTGTGATGAGTCAATTCGAAAACATTTTTGGGTAATTTTACAAATTTATTCAGCAAAATATAATTAAGTAGAAATCAAATCATGTGTAATATATTAACAGTCCTTCCTTAATAATTTGAATCCTCCGGAAGCGCAGATAGCTAAGTAGGTGGCCTAGAAAAACATAACATAGGGGCGTGACATCTTAGTATAACTTTGTATAACTAACATCAATATTTTAAGTGACACAAGCCTATATTCAAATAGGTCCTTTGCATTTCGGAAATATAAAACTTTGTTCAAGATTTATTTTAATGAATTTTCGTTCAAATTTTTAGTTCAGCGGAACATTATAGACAAATATTAGTGTTACAAATATAATCAAAATTTCTAATCTTAAACATAATCTATAACCCCAAGTTCTTCTGCCTCTTCACTATCAAGGAACAATAATAATTTGTTGGAGAAAAAACCTGTAGAAGCACCAACACCACCTTGTTTATGCAAAAAATGTGACAGTATGACATTTGTACAAAACAAGCAAAACGGATATTTTAAAAATTTTGCTAATTAATTAACAAAAATATGTAGATAATTTACATAATGTTTATCTCTTTATTGAGAATTTCGAATTATTTAATCCATTTTTATATAAATTTAAATCATTTTCTATTAAAAAGCTTCCGATTAAATTTTAATGTTTAGAATAGTGTTATTGGCGCTCGTACTCGTACAAGGTACGTACATGGTACGAGGTAACTTCGAAGCACTGGTTATTAACCGGTACCCTCGGTTTTAGGTATTAGCCGGTTTACACCCCGGGTTTTCGGTTTCGGTTTTCAATTGACCCCCGGTTTTTAGTTCACCGAACCCGGTTTATAACTAAATTTTCCATCCAGAATATCAATTCATATTTTATCAAATTATTATGCTTCAATGAAATATTCTACAGGCCGAAAGTTTTGTTATTTAAAGCCACATGTGAAAATTTCAAGAATTCAATTTAAAAATTAAATAGGGTCGGGATTTAAATTGTCTAAAAGATTCTCTTATTTCCTTGTTAAAATTTATATCTTCTTTGACATGAGAATATTTTTTTGTTTGAGAATAATTTCAATATAATTTTACAAGTTTCTCTATTAGATTCACGTTTTTATCGACAGTCTTTCAAGAATTTTTTATTATGTTCTTTTATATTTTGACTTAAATTTAGAAATTAACCAAAAAATTGCTAAATGTTTTATACTGAAATAATCTTAAAAAATCACAATGTTCGTCAAGAAAAGGTTAAGAAAAATAAATAATATTTACATAAAGAATAATATGTACATAACTAATAAAGTATTCTAATGACCGGCTCTTCTAGTTTCTTGTTTATTTTAAAAAATTTAAGAAAATTTCCAGAAATCTGTGATCTATAATAATTTGAAGGATCCCAAATAATATTTTTGACTAAATATCAACTCAATATAAACAAAAGAAAGTGAGCATCTGGTCATCTACAGCTAAATTCAAGCAAAAGTGGACAGAATAAATAGAGCAATATGCTCTAGATTTTGCTCTTTTTAGAGTCTTTTACTAGCTCTTTAAATGAACTCTTTTAAACACGTTTAGTTGGGCTTTCAGCTCGCTTTTTGCTTGGGCTTAAACTTGTTCGTGGACTCTTTTTTTCTTTTTTATGTTCATGATGAATACCGCTCTCTGTCTGACTACCGCTCCCTTGTTCATGAAGGCGTTTTTCTATTATTTTTAAATAATTTTATTTAATAAATAAACTTACTACCAGTAATCGAAGTGTGTACTTTTCCCCTTTTGACTACATATGTTCCCTGATTCGACTTTTGTTTTTCGAGAAATTCCAAATAAGGCATTTCACCGTATAGCTTAACGAGGAATAAACGAGCAACACCTTCCATGTTCATAGTTTTTTTATCATTCAAATTTAAGCAAATTTCAACTGGAACCTTCTTTGTTGATTCTGCTTTACTGGAACTGGATTCTCCCGTTTCTTTGTCGGCGATTTCTTCAGTTTTTTCTAATTTGTCTTCTACATATTCAGTCCGGCATGCCTAAAATAGTACTTTATTTAAGGAAAAGTCCAAATTGAAGATCGGTCACTTTAATTAAGTTTAGTAATTGTTGCAATAAAATTGCCTTATGTATATTTAAGATACAAAATCAAATGTTGTTAAAAATTAAATATAGCAACCTTGAAGGTTTTAAGAACAAAAGCAATCTTTTCCTCTATACTGAACATGTTTCTTATTTTCTTATCAAGAAGATTTTTAACTTTAAACTCTCTTTCTTTTTTTAATTTAAAGTCTTCGGCATCTCCAAATGTAATATGCTCGACTGGCAAATCTACTTGCATTTCATCCATACTTTCCGTCTTTTCTACTTTTGACTCCTCTTTAATTACTTTTTCCTTTAGGGACTTTACTTCAGATGAATCTTCATTAACTTTGATCGTCATCCACATTGCTTTTATTGCATCACTTCCATGATCTGCTTCAAATTCATTTAAATTTTTGTGGTCAATTCCAAAAGCGTAGGTTACAGATTCTGTCCATGCATTGTCTGTGTTTGTCTGTAAAATATTTAATTATCGCAACAAACATTTTAAAATTCTATCACCTCTTTCGCATCATTATAGCCAAATATCACCAATTCTCCATCACCCATGAGAGTTTTGAGTTTATTTTCGAATTCAGCTTTTTCTTCTTTTCCTACCTTTTTATTTGCTAGACCTTCTTCGATTAATTCTCTCTTTGCTGCATCTTCAAATTCTTCATCTGGATCAACATACCCTCCTGGAGTAGTGATTCTTCTATCTATAAGAATAGTTTTTTAATCCATACCACGACTGGCTTGAGTTTAATTTTTTAAACCCTTACTTTTTGATGAAAAATATATAGTATACCTTCAGGTCTCTCATACTTCCCATTCATAACGCCGAGAAATGAAAATTCATCATTTATGCTTTTTGAGTATAAAATTGCTCCAACTCCTTTACTTGGTCCCCATTGGTACAATTCTCCACGTGTAATAAAACCAGTACGTGTAATTGGGTTGATTGGATAGCCATTTTCATCCAACTCGTACTTTCTAATAATTATTTATAAATTTATTAATATTTAATTTTGTGTCGTGATTGCTATGATTATACAAGAATGGAAAATATAAATTATCGGGGGTGAAACGGTATTTCTCAGGTCTGTTTCTTTTCAAGATAATCCAATTCCATCTCAAACCTATTCGTAAGACGGCAGGGATGGGACGGGTTACCCGAAACCCGGACTTTTTTCAGCCCGAAACCCGATTCAAAGAAAATTTTGAAAACCCGACCCGACTTTTTTCTCAATCCTCCCATCCCTGTAAGACGGATCAAGAAGTGAACTATGGTGGGTTCTGAGTTAGTATCCTGGTTTCTAGTTACAGTTGATTCTATTACAATAAGAATTTTCATACCCATAAAATGAGCAACGATCAAGTATTCGCTTCTCATTTTTGTCATAATCATGATGAATAATCAAATCCTTTTCACTATCAGTGTGCCACAATCCACTATATTTTTTAACATCCTCGTCATCAGGTTTAATCCAACTACTTGCTGGCAAATGCCCCCTTTTCAAATGCAGACCTACAACCACATTTGGTTTGTATGGTCTATAGAATCCAGCTAAAAATTAACTTATTATTAGAAATTACAGATGGATAGTTTAGTTTGTTGATTAATTGCAAACCTTCACACTAATTAATCTCATAAATACATAGATTATTTCAAGACGTTAGAATTTTAAATTTAATAAAATAATTTGTCTTCTAATATTCAAAAATAGAATAAATAAAACATACAAACATCAATTTTACAAATTCCATCTTCGTTAATTATAATACAACCACGTGGAACATCTTGACCAGGATCCATATCCAACTTTAAAGCCACTTTTTCCTTCAATTCCTTTAAAATTTTATCAACATCTTCATCTTTCGAAATTTGATATCCTTCCTCTTTTAACATTTCTAAAACTTCCTCTCGTTTTGACACTTTATCTATATTTTTTAATAAATTTTTAGCTTTATTTTTTTCATCCTTTAGATCATTAGATTTTTTCTTCAAGTCTTTTAAGTGTGGCTTTTCAGCATGTATTTTTTCAATATGGTTATCAGGACCCAATTTTTTGTAATCCTCATAGGCCTCCTCACTCATAATTTCTTTTAACAATCCACTCTGAATTTCCAAGACTCTATTAAATTCCTCATCAGTAACGGTAGCTCTTGGATAGATTGCCGCTTAAATTATTAATGTAAAAACGATTATTATACATAAAAACGAATAAAAGCGAATTTTTAATCTACCGTATTGTCTCTAATACAAGCCCTGGGCGTCTATTTTTTAATACCCCTCATTGAGTGGGCTTCTAATAGGGTATGGGCTTCTATTGGATATGGGTTTCTATTAGAGACAATACGGTATTTACGAAAGAATGTTATTTATAAAATAAATATGTATAAAAGATTCGTTAAAAAACCCTACATTTGTAGATTCCAGTATATTGATGAGGCAGCGGTAACTGGAATTTCGGATCGTAAAGCTTTCTCTTGCACCCACCATCATTTGGTTCCAAATATACGTTTAAATTTCCTGGCAAACCCCGAGATGATCGCTCAGGTGCCTCAACTTTATCCTTTGCTTCTCCCAATGCAATAATCAAGGTAAATGCGCCCAAAACGAGTAGGCGCATTTTCTAGGTTTTTGTTTTTTAGTCTAAAATTGAAATTATTTCTTTTATATTATTAAATTCATAAAAAATATTTATTATAATTAAAATTTTAATAAATAAATCAATCTTTCAATATATTCTTCTTGCTAATATGGGCTAAGTTACTTTTTTAGTAGAGATATAATAGTTTCAGAGATATAATAGTTTCAGGATAATATGATAGCTAGAACTATCAGAAATTTTTGGAAGAAAATTTCAAAATATATTCCAATATGAGGTTATGAAATTTAGATAGTAGTGTAGCTGGTATTGATCTACAAGTGAAATCCAGAATTATGACTGCTTTTAAAAGCTTTAAAGAAAAGGATAAAGGTAAATTACTTATTATGTTTCGACTGGACAGTCTCATTTCGTAAGGAAGTCTTACGACGGAAAGAGGAGTAATTAGAAGTCTAAAAGAAATATAAAAATATTTAATTTCCACTTAATCATACATTTAAATCTTTTAGACTTTGCCCCTTTATTATTTAATATTTTATATTATTCATTTCCGTTTCCTTAAGATTTCCATTAAAACTTAGGCTTTATTTTTCTTTACATTAATAAACTCTAGCAGCGACCTTCGATCGCTCAAAGCCTATAAATAATTGTAATCATCTCCCCTTAATCGTTTTCATTGGTTCACTCTCACGGTTCACTCTCACGGTTCATTCTTAGATTCTTTCCTATTATTCATTAAAAATAAATAAGCTTCTCTCAACATTGTTAATTCTTTTAAAATAAAAATAAATTTCTCTTTAAATTGTTTTACCTTTATTAAATAAATATTGGAAAATAATTGAATTGGATTTAAAATACTTTTAAAAATAATAAAAGTTAACTCGAAGAAGAAAGAATTGGTTCTTCGAGCAATTAAATCTAAAAATTGAATAAATTCTCAAAGGAAGAGAATTTAGTCGAAAGAAGTAAAAATTTGTTCTTTCGACAAGTGGCGACCCAGCAAAAAACAAAACTACAAAAAATTTTTATATTAAATTTCTGCAAAATTAGAAATTTAATAATTGACTACAAAATAATTGTCATCAAAAAATTAATTCAGCAAATACAAAAATTTAATTTGCTACAAAATGAAAATTAATTATTGGCTCATCAAAAAAATTGTGGTCAAAGCTCAAATTAGTGGTTGAAGAATAAATTGTAGGTTTTAAATAATTTAAATCAAATTAAAAATTTTTGAAAAACAAAAATTTTAACAAAAATTGAAAAAATGAGCCGCATGTTAAAATCACTTACAAAAAGAGCGGCAGAAAAGGTGCAAAATCTTTTAAAAATTAGTGCTCCAAAAGAGCCTGATAGCCAAGAGGAAGATTATATTTTTGGTCTTTGCGAAACATTAGACCAATTATGTATAGAAATTGAAGAATTAACCGAGGCACACTCGGATTTGAAAGAAATTAATTCTAAATGGATGTCTTTAGTCCAAAGGTGCTCCCAATCAGAAAAAGCTGCAAATGAGACAGCTTATGAAGAAACGGCCTCTTTCTACAAAATAGAAGAGTGCTTGAATGAAGCAGAAACACGTCTTAGAGAACTAAAAGAGTTGGAAAGACGTCTTAAATCGGAAAAGAGAAAAGAAGAACGTAGGGAAGCAACATCTACGACTAATATATCCAGAGGCCAACAACTATGTGGTTTTAGTTTTAAACCTCCTAGGCAAGAAATTGGAAAATTTTCTGGTAAACAAATCGATTGGCCAGAATGGTGGCAAATCTTTGAGGCCACTGTACATGAAACAGAAGGAAGTGAGGAAGTAAAACACGCTGTACTAAAACAGTGTGTGGAAGGAGAGGCAAAATCTCTTATCGTTGGTTTGAAATTAAGCGATTATCACGTTGCTATAGACCTTTTAAAACAGAGGTATGGCAATGAAGAAGAATATACAAGGAATTTATATACACAACTGGAAAGTATAAAATCATGCCAAACCTTCCAAGATTGTCGAAAATTTTCACTAGAGATCGAAAAAATATGTCGACTATTGGAAAATAATGGTCATAATATTTCAGGCCAAGGATTTTGGATGAGCTTAGAAAAAAAGCTCACAATACCAATTTTGCGGGAAATTCAGTCAAAGAAAGCGATTGTAAAAAACAATGGAGCTTTATGGGACACAGCTGCCTTCAGAAAAGCTTTACGGGAAGTGATTGAGAAAGAGGAACTTGTCCTCTCCATTCACGGAAAATTACCTGAGAAAGCTGAAGAACAGCAAAATAACCAAAAAAGCTTCGAAAACTTCCCAGATAGAGGAAGTGACAGCGAAAATGAAGTAACAACAACATTCG